ACAATAGTACAAGCCCCTTTCTATGTATCCAATCACACCATCCATACCGACCTAAGTGTCCCTTTTGTTACCGAGCTAGCCCAATCCCGCTACAAAACGTTCTATTCCAAACTACTCCACCATCCGAACCCTTTCGTCAAAACCCTGTCATTCACCACATTACCTAATAATCCCAACAAAAGACTGAAGCGTCGGTGGCCCCGCGACAACCTTAACAATTGACATCGGTCTCCTACGATGGAGTACATCTCGCTCATCGTATTGATTAACTAACGGCTACCATCACTGGATGGTAATTGTTCAAGCTTTCACTCTACTTACTAGTTAATAATTTTACATGTAAATACTTGTTTCGTCGAAGAATGCAGTTGTAAAAGACAAATAAAAAGTTTTAAAAAAAAGATATTGGGATTAACTTCTTTCCTATTCTCTTTAAACGAGGAGAGCCAAATCATATTAAAAATCCAACAACTACATAAATTCAATGTGCCTTGCTAGTAAGTATTGCGAACTCTCTTGGGGTAGGTCACGTCCGGTTGACCAACGGGCATTTCCTCGTCAAAAAGCAACTGAACTGATATGCCCACTAAGATGAACAATGAGCAACAGCTAAATTGCTTCAATACAGCGAATGTCACTTATTCACGATCAGTGCGTTAACCCTGTTAAGACTGTTAGTCCTATTACATCGAGAAAAATGATAACGTAGACTGGTAAGAATAGGCCAGTTAACATTGCTCGATCTAACAAGCCAGGGCCAATGTTAGGTCGAAAATATAGTCACGTTGCTATCCGTTAGGTAGCCAACATGGCAGCCATGAATTTAACAGATGTTTTTTGCTTACACGTACTTTTATTTTTAATTACGCATTAATTAAATCTGACCGATACATTTCTTTGTTCATTTCTGATTTTTCCTTACACTCTCATTCCTCATGGATACATCCTCTATTATATGAAGTTGTAGGCTGTTAGAGGTTAGGTAACAAGTTAGGAATGTCTGCACGAATTGAAGCGTGTCATTAGTTAATAATTTTCGAGTGGATAAATAGCATTTTGAATGAAAGAGTTGATTAATTTTCCCTTTTTACAAACTTTTGGCATCTTACAATTTAACACAAAACAAGATCATAACAAACAACAACAAGCCTTCAAGGACTGTTATAGCATTATTTTTAATTCTACCAATCGCCACACGCAGCATTGCGGAAAAATTATTGTTTAACATGCTAAGAAAAGAAGGGGGCGTTTACGATCTTACTGGATATTTCTCTATTCGACTTAATATAAGTTAACATCTTACAAACATCGTGAATACAGCTAATATGTGGCCTGCCTAATGATCGGAAAAAGGAATAACAATGACCATCAGCACAAACGATGCCGCATGACCCGGAGACTCCTGTGAGCTGACGGATGCCAATAATTATTTTAAAAACATATTTTGGGAAAATTGGCAAAACGCTGGGCTGTAATGACCGACAAATTAAAGAGATAAAACAGTCGGACAAACTGTGGTCCATGAAAACGTAGAAAAAAAACAAAGGATAATGATTACCCGACTACGAATTGGCAACATCAGATTAACGCATGGACTTCTCCTAATTAACAAAATGCCAAGGATTAAAACATTTATTGTTAAGAGTTGTATTTATTGTTGTTAAGAGTTGTATTAAAACATTTATTGTAAGAGAACAATGTTCGCACAGAACAACGCGTGGCCTGTCAATCAATTTCAAAAACATTCTAGTACAGCAGTGATGGCAGGGGAAATTTGATTTGATACTGATTGTCTGCTATCAGGCACAGTAGCATTCAAATTTATTGGATGAAAGTTAGTGGTATGAGGAATGAGAAACATTTGAGTTTTAATTATTTAACTACCTCTTGCCACCTCAATACAAATCCATACAAGTCCGTGGATGGGTTTTCCACTGGTTCAACAAAATTTGTGATTTTATACGAACTGTGTGTCCCCGTTACATTCCAGTTGAGTGAGTAAATTGGCTTATGACGAGATCAATGGAATATCTTTAAATATGCACGAATAAAATACTAGGAAATAGAAAATAAAATAGTTAAGTACCCCTTTATCTTTCATCTAATAGTATTTTATCTATCAATTAATCCATGAAAAAAAGGAAAATTACCAGTCCAAATAGGGTTGGCAAACACGTGAAATTTTGCAAGAAGTAAAAAAGAAATAAAGTACTATTGTATTTTCTTGGCAATATGTAAGAAAACGTACGTATTACATGCTATGATCAATTCTAACCACAGTAAAATTGAAAAATTATTTTATTAAAAAAATAAAAAATAGAAAAATTGTATTTCTTTTTATTCCAAAGGTATTAGCCAATAGTTCATTAGAATGAGGAGGTCACAAAATGTAATTGAAATAATAAAAAAACACATATTTTTTCTGAATAATATTAATAAATGGCAAATTTTGAATTTCGTCAGAACTCTCTATTCTCTTGTAATCTATTTGATAATAAAAAAATACAAATTCATGGCAATTTGATCGAAAAAGAAAATGACTTTTAATTAATTGGTAAATTCCGTTTGAAATAATCACAATTAAACGCGTCGTGCTGCTGTGAAATTACCGAGTACAATCCATACGTTTTACTTTTTGCGTAAATAATTACCGATTATTATTATTATTGTAAATAATTTACAAACAATTATTTTCAATAATTATTAATTACGAGGTGATTTCAACTACGAGGTTAAGAGCCCTCGGCCCGGTGGTATTTGTGAAAATATTCTGTTTGTAAGTATGTCAGGTTGGAATTCAGATTCGTTACATTCCAAACCCAGTCCTTACAATGATGTGCATAACGTGTCAACGCCTTAAACATTGCTGCCAACGACGCACAATGGGGCAAAGGCGGTAAAAAATCGATTTCCAAAAAACTGAAACTTTCATAATCCTACTCACTTTTCTTACAGTATTTTAGCCAGAGAATAAGGCTACTAATGTTTATACGGTTAAAAATTGATCCAAATCAATGATAACTGCTGAAACCTGAAAATTATAAATTTTGCATAATATACAGTGTTACTATTTGTTAATATTATTCAAGAATAAATAAGTTGGCTCTGGTCATTAAGATGGCTTTGCATCTCAGTTGGTGAGATCATTGTGTGATAAATATTATATTTTTTTGTTGTATCAAAGTTTTGCAAATTTGTTTGTGGAGTCCTATTCACTAATAACATTTGTTTGTTTGTGCTAATTACACATGATTGTGTTTTTATTTATTTTATTACGGATATATTATAAACCCCATACAATAAGTTTCAATTTTTGATTTTTAGTCAGATTAAATATATCCGTAATAACAGCTATTTTCTAAGCATTACCGGTTCGTTCTAAAAATTCGTTCACCCTAATTCCCTTTTGTGCACACTCCCAAGTATGAGATAAAGACACAAAATCAAGTTGTGATGGAATCGGTTGGGTTAGTTGAGGGAAAACCAGGAATTTTCAAAGAATATTCGATTTTTTTAGATTTCAAAAACAACTTTTATTCTTTGCTTTGGCACCTTTTTTTTGTCTTTATCTTTTTCTTTTTTTTTCTATGCACATCGAAGTACTATCTCTGTTGTTTTCACCTGCCTATCTCATTACAGCATTGTTTTAAATAGACAATGTCACGAGCGGGATTCGAACCTACGACCTTCGGCTAGATAAAGTTCTCCGTGGCCATTTCAATTGTCGCCGAGAATCAAATAGATTGCACGACGTTTGAAAAATGGCCAAAAGGAGAGAAAATTCAAAAGGTGGGGTTGAGATGGGAAGTTGGAGTCTGTGTGGTCGAGGTCACGATAGCTCAAGTGGTAGAGCAGCGGCGTATCTAGCCGAAGGTCGTGGGTTCGAATCCCGCACGTAACACTGACTTTTTTATCTCAACTAAAAACCTTAATTAATTGAAAGATATCAATTGGTCAAGCGGACCACGAAAACTAGCGAATAGTTTTAAATAGAGCTATTTGGCCTAAAATCTCGCCTAAAATAGTAGGTAATAATTATAGTTATTAGTTGTTATTTTATAGTTATTTGTCAATTCACTCATCATAATTATTGGTGATATTTGTTCCATTTTTGGATTTTGTACCTCTATTTTAGTCAATTTGCTGCGGTCCAATCGAATCGAAAAATCTTTCATTGGATTCAGCATACCAAAAGACCGAAACATACTAAATTTGGGGAACTTGCCTCAAAAATCTTGGGAGTTACTGAATTTGTTTCCGCTTTTTTGGTTTAGGCTCCACTGTGCGACGCCCCATAAAATCATAAATATTCTATAAAACCAAGACATTGATTAAATAGGCTCCAGCCATAGAAAAACCCGCTGTACGCTAATGAACTTTATAATTACTTTCTCATTTAGAAAAAAAGTGTAATTAATTAATACGTCATAAAAACAGTGTGTTTAAGTTATTAACGAGACAAAACAATATTTATACAACAAAAAATTGTTTCTAAGCTAACTGAAGTTCCTGTGGATAGAAGGTGACAAAATTCTTAGATTTGTTCCATATTTTATTTATACAATCAGACGTTTTTTAGGTGCATCTCTTAACTTTTTAGTATTTTGGAAATATAAATTGCTTATCAAAGGAAATAATTGATACTCAGTGTTATATATTCAATATATTCATATATTAATTGGATTTATATATTTATATATATTTGAATTAATGTTTTGTCCAAACTGACGTGGTACTTGGTCCACCAAACTTGCTTTTTACATTAAAATTAGGACGATATTATTGAAGCAAACTGTTTTGCTTAAGTGGAATAAAGGTGTTTCTCTTTATAAAATGAAATTTAGTATTTTACTGGGGATGGCTTTCTGTCTTTTCTTTAACATAAACAACCTCCAGAAAAACGTCATCCTACTATGCATCGAATCAGACCAACCAAAACCCCCCACTTCTCATAAACCCAGTATATAAGACGCAGGTCGTCAATTGTGAAGTCAGTTTATACTGATTTGTATATGTAGATAGATTTGGAGTAAAAGGTCTTCTTCCTGGTTTAATAGTGTAGGGCTTTATTCGATTATTATGTCAATATTGATTCAAATTTGTCCATTTATTTTAAAACAATTATTTTATACGGGCATAATTTTTCATGTTTCAGATGGACTTCAAAGTGTTACTAGTTCTATGTTCAGTTGTTTTAAGCCTAGCATTAGGAAAGCCCATAAAATCCGACGAAGTAACAGAAGAGCCATCTACATTTGCTGTGTTGTTGAGCACATTGTTTATTAAATAACAGACAAAACAATACAAAGCGGATTAATTATATTTTCGACCCGTTTTAATGTTAACTCTGAAATAAATAAACACTGAATTTGCAGTACTTTTTTTTTACTCTATCAGGACCTATTTATTCGCCGTTTTTTATACATCTGTGTATGTCCAGATGTATACCGGTTATGACAAGTATATGTCTATTTTGAAATATCATTAAAAAAAAGCACCAAGTTGTTAATACTGACAGCTTGATCGTAATTATACATCCGACGTCTAGGGGCTTTAAAAATATGAAACAATAGAAATCCCAATTAATTTTTGATAATTATCGTCTATGTTTACTTCCTCAAAATTTATGCCAAGTCCTGTGTCTTTTACACGTTGGCTTAAACCTGTATTGTCACATTTGTTTTGAAGTTATTTTTACGTTGGTTTCTTCTTTTATATAAAAATTGTAGTTTTAGCTATACATGGTTTTTGACATGAACATTATAGTTTATACGGGATTTTACTATTTTTAAGTTTATAAGTAGAGGGGAGTGCAAAATATCATATATTTTTTCACTAATGTGCGAATGGAAAATAAATTTGTTTAAATGTTTGTTGTTGTTTACATATTTTTAATATTTTTTCTGTTGATCCTTCGACACATACTAGTCCTACAAAGTAAGGAACTTACTTTTTTTTTTTTTCTTTTTTTTACATTTATCATTATAAAATGTATTCCGGTGTTGTTGTGTAGTTTTTTCAGTGATACTTTTTGAATTTTAATTAGTATTTCCCTTATTGACAAATTACATTTGTGAAAGGTATATCGCTTAATTCATATATTTTTGTGTTCATGGATGCATCGAACAATTGATTAAACATTTGTACGTTCTGAACATGTTGGTTTTTTTATAAGTAATTAGTGTTTTTGGTTTGCATTTCTTAATAGTTCTAAATCTAACAAATGTAGCTTTATTTATATTATTTTCTCAATCTGAGTTGAATTTTATATTTTCACACAATTTATTGAAAGCCTTTAATAGGACATCTGTCATTTGTATTGACAATTATTATATTGTCATCTACATATTTTTTAGGGAATTTTACCCACGTTTTTATGTTGTTTAAAATTTGTTCTGTTTATATAAATTCCTGCTACTACTGAGAATAAGCTAAATCCCGCCGGAAAGCAAATTTTATTTTTTTATTATAGTATTTTTTTATATTGTACCATTGAAAATAAAATATGAATTGGTTATGCAATTTTCAAGGATTTCAAAAAAAATTTATTACTTTGTTGGATTTTGTAATGTTTTAAAAAGTTCAATTTATCTTTTACTGTTTTATGGCATCATTAAGTGGAATTGAACATAGATAATATGTCTAAACTAATTATAATCTTTTTTAATTTGTATCTGTTTTAAAAAATCCTTCAATTCTTGTGAGTTTTTTTACATCATACCCCTGAACATTTGATATTGAATTTATTTGTTTTAAAAATAATAATTATTATTATTATTATTATTAAATATAATAACAATTGTTTTTATTTCCAATCCAAATTGCATAAATATAATTGTTATACATGGACATAACCATCATTATGTTTATATACCCAGAAAGGTTTTTTTATTTATAAATAATTTACTTATTAAATTCACTAGTTTTCGTGGTACGCTTGACCAACTAATATCTTTCAATTAATTAAGGTTTTTAGTTGAGATAAAAAAGTCAGTGTCACGAGCGAGATTCGAACCCACGACCTTCGGCTAGATACGCCGCTGCTTACTTACTGCACTTGAGCTATAGTGACTTCGATCCTCTCGGACTTTCAATCTCAACTCCACCTTTGGATCCACCAGTGGATCAAGTCACGATAGTTCAAGTGGTAGAGCAGCGGCCTATCTAGCCGAAGGTCCTGGGTTCGAATCCCGCTCGTGACACTGACTTTTTTATCTAAACTTAAAACTTTAATTAATTGAAAGATGTTACTTATTAAAGTTATTTTTAAGCCAATAATTGTTATTTGTAAAATATTTAATTAAGGGTTTAAACGTACATTGCATATTGTTGAACTAAATATAACCTCTTTTTTATTGGTTTAATTGTTTGTTTCTTAATCCTGAAGTTGAATGAAGAAAATATAATTTAGAAGAAATTCATCCATCAAAGGTCAAATTCATCATATGTCAACTCTCAGTAAAAAAAACCTCCCTAGAATTGATTCTAGGTTGCTTGTTATTAATACAAATATATTAATTAATTATAAAAATTGTTTTGCAAGTTTATTTTTTTAGGGTTAGATCAGAAGAGAGCCGTCACACCTTCGTTTGCACAGGTAAAATTGATCTTTCCAGTTTACCAGGAAAGCTACAACAGCATAACAGTCAGTCCCGTGTTGGCGCAGCAGTCCTCCCGTCCTAGAAATTGGCACCGGGCCGACGTGAAAACGAAGGGGAATATCGGTTCAAGTTTGGAATTTACCGACTGGTTGGGGGCAATATGAAGGGTTGTAAGTAGCTCGGCAAGTTCACCAACATGGCCGCTAACTACCGTAAATTACCGGAGTGCGGGGTAAAGTGTTAAAACCTTGCTAAATATAGTAGTGGGCGTGATGAGTTATGCCGGGGCAATAAGTGGACCTAGGACTTAGCGTTAAGCCACCAACTGACACTTTTTCAACGGCATCTATATTATTAGAACCTTATAAGAGCCAGTCGCTAAGCCTCTCTTCCTCTTCATTATCTCTGTTTATACACTTCTTTTCCACTAATTCTGTCTTTTCGGAGAAAATTAAAAATATCTTTAATCTCTGTTTCGACAATCAAATTTCAAAAGGTATCATTATACAAAGTTGAAACACACAGAATGTATTCATCTAATCTAGAGGTAAAAATTATAAAGACATAAGCGTACAAGAAAATAAAATTAATAAAACCGAATATACAGGTAAAATCTGCAAAAACGGGAGCGATTACATCTTGACCAAAAGGAATTTTTATATCTGTGTGGGTTGTGTCAATGGACAGATAAAAAAGGGCATCAAGGATTTTTCTGAGGATAAGTATTAAGCAGTTTAAACTGAATGGGTATTGGAAAGTTTGGCTGAACACCACACTTTCAGTCCTTAAGTCCATATCGACTTAACTATAGTGTTTTTATTTTTGAAAGGTAAGTCAGAGAGTTTGTCGATAAGTCATGAAATTGCTCTGTATCGTGTCATAACCACATTTCAGTAGTGTTTGAGAATTCCATATCACAAAAATGATCGATGTGCAGTCCGAGATACCGAACCACGATCGCAGATGGGAGTGGAAATGACTGGATCATCTGCAAGGGGTTTGGGTGGTGGTTTGGAGGTGAGATGGAAAGTCGGCTGTGTAAAACCAGTAAGGATTATGTATTTTGGGAAATGCGCTGACCCTACAATAACTCGGAAGTACTGGTCGGTGAAGGAGGTGGAGGAGCTACGGAAGATTAGGTAGTAAGTAGAAGGAAGGACGTCCTTGAGCAAAATAGCCCGAGTGTCAAACGGGAATTGATAACATAAATTCGGTATTTTTGGAAGGAACGGTCTATCGATGAACCGTGAAGACGCATTATACTTAAAAAATCCACTTAAATGCTTATCTTACTCACTTGGATCACGCATTAACTAACAGATTGGCCATTCATTTATCAACTTTTTTAATCACCTGCAAATTCTGTTGAAAAATATTCGAATCGAATTGCTTTCATTATACATATTTATTCAATTAATCTTCAAAAAAAAATTATTTTACATGACTATTTGGCCGACCATTCCAATAAAACATGGGGCCAAATTGTTACAAAAAGGTTGTGCAGACGCGTATTATGTTTAGGCACGTGCCTTATATTTTTTTACTACCTAATTTAATTTTGATTTGGTCATTACCGACCGGTCTGCCTACTCTCGCCGTTTTAGTTTTTTCGGTTTTTCACGTAATCTGCTTGTGATTTAGTCATTCGTGCACCTTGTCGACAGCGAAATGGGGCACTCCTTTCTGACCAAATTGGTTAGAAACGACAAATTACGGCTTCTCAATTACTTCATTGAGAAAAAAGGAAGGAAAATTGGAAAATATAAAACTTAATATAATTTTTGTATTGTATAATAACGACGGACTTCCGTGATTATTTATTTTGCGGGGGGCGTCAAATATTTATACACCAAAAAATTGGTTCTAAGGAAGCTAAAGTTCCTGTAAACAGAGGGCGACAAAATTACTAGATTTGTTCCATATTTTATTTATACAATCATACGTTTTTTAGGTGTATCTCTTATCTTTTTAGTACATATTTTGGAAAAATATTGCTTATCAAAGAAAATAATTGATACTCAGTGTTATTTATTCAATATATTTATGAATTTATTGGATTTATATATATTTAAATTAATGATTAGCCCAAACTGACGTGGTACTTGGTCCACCAAACTTGCTTTTTACATTAAAATTAGAACGGTATTATTGAAACAAATTGTTTTGCTTAAGTAGAATAAAGGTGTTTCTCTTTATAAAATGAAATTTAGTATTTTACTGGGGATGGCTTTCTTTCTGTTCGTTAACATAAACATTAACCTCCAGAAAAACGTCATCCTACTATGCACTGACTTTTTTATCTCAACTAAAAACCTTAATTAATTGAAAGATATTAATTGGTCAAGCGGACCACGAAAGCTAGTGAATAGTTTTAAATAGAGCTATTTGGCCTAAAATCTCGCCTAAAATAGTAGGTAATAATTATAATTATTATAGTTATTAGTTGTTATTTTATAGTTATTGGCAACTCATCATAATTATTGATGATTTTTGTTCCATTTTTTGATTTTGGACCACAATTTTGGTCAATGTGCTGCGGTCCAATCGAATCGAAAAATCTTTCATTGGATTCAGCGTACCAAAAGACCGAAAATACTAAATTTGGGAACTTGCCTCAAAAATCTTGGGAGTTACTGAATTTGTTTCCGCTTTTTTGGTTTGGGCGACGCCCCATAAAATCATAAATTTTCTATAAAACCAAGACATTGATTAAATAGGCTCAAGCCATAGAAAAACCCGCTAATGACATTTATAATTACTTTCTCATTTAGAA